GATGATGTACATATGTTTACCTGTGTGCAGATAAGAAGGTTGACTAAAAACATTTGATAAGATCTGACCTGGATATGTAGGGTTAGTGGAATAAGAGGTGCATCTCTTCACACACACACACACACACACACACACACACACACAGGATCTCATATATGAAACTGCTACTATCATTGATCAGGTAAACTCATGTTAGGTGTGGGGTGGATCTTTTAAATTTTCATGAAATCAAACCCCATTTTTACAGTCGACATTTTCTCCTACGTATGCGCGAGGGATTGGTAAAGGGAAATGGTGCAGTTTAATTAAGCCACACTGTTGCACTGGGTGACATGTTCCTAAATTACCATGAACACACACACTGTAGTTTATTTTGACTTAATCCCAATTACATCGTAAGTTGCTCCAGGAAGTTGCCATCGCAAGAATTAATACAAATTCAACCCATCCCTGTTAATTCTGCGCTACCTTGCAATTTCATCCAGTCAGCGCAAATTTGACCAATCATTGTAGTTTCCCACGAGTTTCACCAATCATAGCTGTCCCAAGCGCAAATGTTGAGCCATACGTCACCAAACTACTAGCGATGGTCTCACTAGAATAACCGTCTCCCACATTTTCATTGTAAAAAATGTCTAAAAACATTGCAACATGCATAACTGTCTTTTAGAAAAGTTGCAGTGAAATTAGGCATTTTAGGCTATAACAATCTCACAAAAAACCTGTGCAGTCCTGGAGGGACTTACAAAAACTCACTATAGCACCAAAAGTGGATTAATCCACCGCTGAAAATAGTCCCCAACTAATGCACTATTTCCTCCTGTTTGAGTGGTGTTTGATAAAAACTGCAGTGACAAGCTGTTGACCAGGAAACTACTGAACCTTTTAAAAAAAACTACATTTCTGAGGCGTTTTTTAAAATGTATGTCTTCAGTAGGAACCAGTGGAATTGGAGGCCCATTAAGGGCCACAGACACTGTGAGAAAGCATTGGGAACACATATTTGTCAAAATGTAAATGCAACAGAGAGACAAAAAGAGAACATGTGTGTCTGAGAACCTGAAAAGAAACTGTGTCAAGGATGTTTATACAGTCAGGAACTCCTTCTTCAGCACATATACTACATCATAGCATAGAGTCTGAAAGATGAAAGACTCTCTATCTATCTTTATCTTCCTCACTCTCATCCTCTCACTCACACTTTATCTCTGGCTTCATTCTGTCCTCTCAGATAGCACTAAATTATTATTGTCGTAAGCACACATACACACACGTACGCACTCATACCTCAGCCATTTTACATCAGAATTTGCTGAAGCAGATCAAGCAATTGCTTGTCAAGCTCCACTAAATATTAATGAGAATAGAGAGTGTGTGTGGGTGTGTGTGTGTGTGTGTGAGAGAGAGAGAGAGGGAGCATGTTTTCGGCACACTGACTTTTCTTTTTTATCCACCCTTTCCCATTTCCATCCATCCACAGCCACTGCTAAAGTCGACATGATACAATTCTGTAAAATTGTTCCATAATGGTAATTTAAAGAAATGAATTATTCATACAATATCCAGACATGATAAGAGGTGATGGTGTGTTCAAGCTGAATGGACGACGTAGCATATAAAGTCAATGCAAAGACACGAGTGCAACCAAAGAAAATGAAATGTGGAGGATTTGAGACAAGGACTGAGCAAAAAATTAATGCTTATCCCAAGTAGGGTTGGGGGAAATGGCCACCATCAACAGTGGTGAAACATATATACGAGACAAGAGGAGGACCAATCAGATAAAGCGTACCTACTTTCCACAGTGATTGGCCAGATATGTAAAAATAGGCGGCGTCAAGCTGTCTTTTTTCAATCCTCGCACAATTACTTCTGTCACTTCATATGAGTGTTCTCCATCCCTCTGAATCATAATTTAATCATTTAAACAATGTTTCTACTTAAAGTGATGGAATCTATTGAGCTTTGTTTGCTTTCTGTTTTCAGTGGCTCACTGACTCCAGGGAGGCTGGGATTTATTTTAAACTGCCTGTGTACAACCAGTGTAAAAAGAAAAAGCCCTGGCCAGATCCCACCATACCCTCAAAATGATTTACCTATTTTGAAGTTGTCTTTTATCCCTGTTTCCCTTCACCAACTCACACAAAACAGGATGGGGGGACACAATATTTTTTAAAGGTGGGGATAACAGCCATTAACAGTGTTACACTCAGTTGTTCACATGAAAGGTGACGGAAACAGTCAAGAATAAAGAAAGAAAGCAAGAGG